AAAAAAAAAAAAAAATCCCTACATGACAAAATATTCCCCAATCAGTAGCAATAGCCACTGCACTCCATCCTGGCAACATAGTGAGACTCCCCTCATCTCTAAAACAAAGTTTTCCTTGGATATTCTGAAGAAACCTCATGAATCATGGACATTCCTTGTCTTGTCAAATTGTAAAAAAAAAAAAAAAAATTCAAAATGAAAGAAACTTCAATTAGTTCCTATTCTGGGATCAACAACTGTCAGATTATTGATTGTACAAGCTCTTTCTGGAAGTCCTATTTGGTTGGAGCATCTGAGACAGAAACAAAATACATAATGTCACTTGATGATCATGGCCTTGATGATCATGGCTTGCTTTCTGTGTGTCATGGGATTAAAGTCTCAGCCTCCTCAAAGAACTTTTGCTTATATAAGATCATTTATAATCCAAAGTTTCCATATAAATAAAAAATCAACATAGAATAACAATTATAGGGAGTTTTGACATCACAAAATCAATTTTTTTAAAGGAAAAGATAAAACACCAAGTAGTCAATAATCAGTTTCTTTAATTGGTATGCTGAGACTTCAAAATAAAAATGTAAGTGCAAAACAGGCTTTCTCAAAAGACTTTGTAACCTCTGAAAGAAACCTATCCTCCTTGCAGGCTTCTCCTTCTATTCAGCTATATGTAAATGAGTTACCCTTTCTTCAGGGTTTTCTCAAGAAATTACACTGTAAACTTCTTAGACCAGAAGTCAGATTTATAAAAGTTAAATAGAAACCCAGCTCTAGAGCCAAAACCCTAGCTTAGGAAAATCAAATATTTAATTCTAATTAAAACCAATAGGGCACTCTGGGAGGCTGAGGCAGGTAGATTGCCTGAGCTTACTGGTTCAAGACCAGCCTAAACCAGAGCAAGGCCTTGTCTCTAAAAATAGCTAGGTGTTGTGGTGGACACCTGTCGTCCCAGCTACCTGGGAGCCTGAGGCAAGAGAATCACTTGAGCCCAAGAGTTTGAGGTTGCTGTGAGCTATGACGGCAGAGCACTCTACCCAGGGTGACAAAGTGAGACTCTGTCTCAAAAAAAAATAATAATTAATTTAACTAATAGGGATACAAGCCAAAAAATGCTACAAAATCATGATTTTGTTAGATATTTAATGTCCTAAACTACAGATCTGTTCATCAGCAGGGTAGAAAAGCGAAGAAGATGTAAATAACTTAGCTACTCAGGAGCTGAGATGGCAAGATTGCATGAGCCCAGAAGCTCAGGGCTGCAGTGAGCTATGATCACACCACTGCATTCCAAGCTGAGTGACAGAGTGACAATCAATCTGGGCACAGAAGGAAAGGAGAGACACCAGAAGTTTTGCTCACTTCTGTCCTATAAAGACACAGATGGTGGCCATTTACAAGCCAGAGAGAGCCCTGAACAGAAACCAAATCAGCCATACTTGGACTTTCTCCAGAAGTGTGAGAATAAATTTGTGTTGTTTAAGCCGCCACGCCTACAGTATTTTGTAAGGGCAGCCCAAGCAGACTAGGTCAGTGTGGCATTTGGAAGGCAAGTTTCAATGCCTTCTCAGCAGAATATGTGTATGTGGATGCACACCCATATAAATATGTTCACACATTTCTAGCTATTATTTCTTCATCTTTATTTTTTATAGATTGTAAACCATGAATTTACTTAAATCCAATTCCAGCCCAATTCTACAGGTTTCATTCTGGTTTTCTCCTTTTCTGTATTCATAGCCCCCTTCTCTGACAGTGATAAACCTGACCTCCACTACGATTGGTATATTCACTTTGATAGTCTCCTGTATGCAACCAATCTCCCCTGATGCCCACCTCCCATACAGTCTCTCCTCCATACACTTGAGCTCTTATTCCTCATTCCAAGTTGCTGCTATCTATCAACCATGTGACTAACTCCATCATTGTCCCGGCCACCCCATACCTAGCTTCCCATCATTATAGATACCCTCCTCACCCTACTAGGTCTCTGAAACCCAACTCTGAGCTTACATCGTTCCCCTCTCCCCACTGTACACACTTTGATCTGGACCACTGTACACAATTAAAATACCAGGCCTGAGACTGCTTTCCTTAGAAAGCCCTGGTAGTAAGGCTGGCCTTTGGGAACTCAGATTTGGAAAAGGATTCCTCCCATTCCCTAACAGATGGAGGAGTTCACTATGCTTAACATGCATGTTGTCACTTGTCTGAAGAATTAAGAGTATCCTGTGACTACACTAGAAGAGAATTCTTGGGAGCTGGTGCTTGATTTCCTCTGGACTTGGCTCAATTGCCTTTTTTCTCTTTGCTGATTTTACTTTGTATCCCTTTGCTCTAATACATCACTGTTGTATGACTGTGCTGAGTCCTGTGAGTGAATCATCAAACCTGCAGGAAGGCAGATTGTAAGAGAACAAGTCATTTAAATTTAACTTAATTGACATTGTTTTATTTTAGCTCTACATCCTATTTTCTCATCTGCTCTTTGTTCCTTTTGTCTTTTTTTTTTTTTTTTTTT